TTTTTTTGTGTGTAAATATTTGTTCAGTAATGTGACTTTGTTATTGATCTTATAATCTTGTTTCTGATTCTTGATTTTATGTGATAGTTCTTGTTCTAACCTTGTTCTTGAATTTTGATTCTTGTGTTCTTGATTATAGTTATTGTTCTTGATTCTTGTCTTTTCTTCTAATCATAAACTTGTTCTTTGGGGAAGAGGGATTCATTCACTACAGACAACCAGGAAACGGGAACAGCTCGGCGCAAAACTCTTCGCCGGATACTAACAACAGTTTGGGGAATCCAAAACCCGGTAGAGCAACCCCCGACTCCGCGGTAATAGGGACTTCAAAAACCCTTTTCACCTACGAGGAGCTAAGCCAGGTAACAGAAGGATTTAGCAAGAAATATGTGGTAGGAGAAGGCGGATTCGGGTGCGTCTACAAGGGCATACTTTGCGAGGGGAAGCCAGTCGCGATCAAACAGCTAAAATCGATCAGCGCAGAAGGATACAGGGAGTTCAAAGCCGAAGTAGAGATCATAAGCAGAGTGCATCATAGGCACTTGGTGTCTCTTGTTGGTTATTGCATCTCTGAGCAACATAGATTCCTTATCTATGAGTTTGTCCCCAACAATACTTTGGATTACCATTTACATGGTACATATATTTCTTCAACAATATCTATAAGTATCAATTGCATTGTTACTGAATTAGGATTCACATTTAGATATTTGAAGATACAACTGGTCAAGTTTATGGTCACATCATTTCTTATGTTGTTGTCAGGCAAAGACTTACCGGTTTTGGAATGGACTAGAAGAGTCAAGATTGCAATTGGCGCAGCTAAAGGACTTGCTTATCTACATGAAGATTGTGAGTAGTACTATTCTTAATGAAATGTGAATTTATTGTATAAAACTATATAACAAAGGGAAAAAAATATTTTGATTCAAATGTTTACGTTTGATGATTTGGCTTTTTTTTTTTTATCAAAATTTCTTAGGTCACCCGAAGATTATTCATAGAGATATTAAATCGTCAAACATTCTTTTGGACGATGAATTCGAAGCTCAGGCAAAGTCAATATTTAAATTGGATTTTTTGGTATTATAACAAAAAGTGTTATTGAGATTCGTAGAAATCATTATGATTTGTTTCCGTACAGGTTGCAGATTTCGGACTCGCCAGACTGAACGACACTGCACAGTCCCATATATCGACACGAGTCATGGGCACATTTGGGTACACTCTTCTTCCTCCAAAAAAATTTTTTTTACCCATTCAATAACAAACTTCAAAAAAAAAAGTTTTCATATTGAAAACGTCGTTAAAAATTAAAAAAGGTTTTCAGTATCAAAACTTTGTAATCTAAACAAACAAACAAGGACTGTCACTGTTTCACATGCATATATAAAAAGCTTTTGATCTCCATTTCCCTTTTGGTGCGATACAAAAATTTATCCTCAAATTGGTCCAACAAAACAATTGTTATTATTTCACAAAAGACCATTTTACATTTGTCTCCTAACATGATTTGATCCTCTTTAATTCAATTCAGGTACTTAGCACCAGAATATGCATCAAGTGGAAAATTAACAGATAGATCAGATGTGTTCTCATTTGGAGTTGTGCTACTCGAACTCATCACCGGTCGCAAACCTGTTGACACCTCTCAACCTTTGGGTGAAGAAAGTCTCGTTGAATGGGTAATTTCTCATGTTTTTACAAGGGGGAAAAAAATCAAAAAATGATATTTTTGTGGTTTTTTTTATTAGGCACGACCGCGATTAATCGAGGCCATTGAAAAAGGTGACATCAGCGAAGTAGTGGATCCACGGCTAGAAAAGCATTACGTTGAAGGTGAAGTCTTTAGAATGATTGAAACGGCAGCATCTTGTGTCAGGCACTCAGCGCTAAAACGACCTCGTATGGTTCAGGTCAGAATCAAAACTACTCACTCGACCTTGTAAGCTGGAAATAGAAACCTTTTCTCTGATACAGAG